CGGGTTTTTGCCCCCCCACAAAAACCCCCCCCCCCCCCCCCCCAATCTCCCCGGGGCCACATAGTCTGTAGACATAGTTGATGAAATAGAAATAACATCCAGGTCATCAAAAAGAGTCGAGAAGTAAATTATTCGAGCTACCAAGGAATGAAGATGTTAAAGGAAAATCCCTCCCTGACACCGTGCACTTTCCAATAGTCCCAATAAACCCCCAATTTCATTACCCAAAGCAGATCGTGAAACTTGCGTTTGCATCTCTCGCCTCTTGTTGAAAGCTCAATATACAATTTCAGACCGCCCTCCCAAACTAGTGCACCCAAAATAAGTTTTCATTGCAACACACCAAAAAAACAAACCCACAACGAAAGGGGGGTATTATATATCAAATACATGCACCAGAGGCAACGCTCCCCGGAAAGCAGCCACGTGAGATGCCAGTTAGCATTCTGTGTGATGCTGCGGGAGGCTCCAATTTCATGGGGGCTCTGCTGTCCCAAATCTGCATATCCATCATTTCCCTTGAGCTTGCAGACGGTCCCTCCCACCGAGATCTAGGGTTGTGAACCTGGTTGATCACATCGTCTTCATTGTGGGTATGCTGGTGGTGAGGGTCAAGGTCCATCACGGTGCTGTCGCCTCCCATAGGCACTCCATCGTCATCTCTTCGGCCGCTGCCGCCGCCCGAACGCTTTTTTGCGGACAGCTTCTTGCGACGTCTGACATTAATCTCGCGAAAGCAGTCCATATACAGATGCTCTTCAAGTTTTAGGCCATTAACCAGCTTGACTTCAATATCGCTTGAATTCAAACGCATGTTACGGGACCCACCCATGTCGTGGAAAACATCGAGGATCGTTTTGTAGCGATCTTGCTCAACTTTTCTCCAAGCTTGGCGGAGAATTTCTTCCTATAAATGATTACTCAGTCAACAATCCATTCTCAAAGGTGACTTTTTTGGGCAAAGGGGATTGCTTACATCACGGGGTAGCCACTGGATGTACTTGGAGCGAGCACGCTTAAACTTCATTTGGAGCATTTCCTTGCCTTGTTTCTTGTTAAACTCCTTGAGAAAGTCATTCTGTATGCTGTCCCACATATCCTGGCCCCTCTTGTTGCGGTGGCGCCAGCGAGATTCAAAGATACACCGCTCTTCAGCAGGGCAGGTGTCTTTGAGAGTAGGAGGTACTTCGTCGCCATGGCAATTTTGGTGCTCCTCGGACGGATCTGGATGTGAGTTCATGGTTGACTTTCTACGGCTTGTCTTCTTCACGCGATTGCTGGCACCAGTGGCCCCAAGGCGTCTGCGGGGGGAGTCGCTCGGGGAGCGCAGTGTCCCGGCGGCTGGGTGCTCTGACTTTATTTCCCCGTTGTTGGAGCTCTCGCGACGAGGACGGCGAACATTTGAATTTCTGGGAGGCTCATGTAGAAGCGGCGCGGGAAGCGGGCTGTTGCGGTCTAGTTCCCGCGAGTGTGGTTCCATAGGAATGGGAGGATTGCCTCGGAGAAGCAGGTTGCTCTGATTTGGAATAGGTCCCATATCCAGATAGTAGGGAGAAGCTGATTGTGACAATGAATGTGGTTGTGTGGCATCGGAAACGCCAAAGTTCCCCATGTAAGGCTCTGGTGGCCCAGGTGTGCGTCTGTCCGTGATGTAGAAGTCCGGCGCAACATGGCCTGGCGTGTGCATAGGAGAGCTTGTCTCATTGGGGTGGCTATTCATCTCGAACTGGGGATTATTCCACGGGTGGTACATCTTGGAGCTGGCCGGCGGGGTTGGCTCTTGGCCATGAGGGCTCCCGGGAGGAGGAGGATAGTGGCCCATCAATTTGGGCATCTGATGCAGAGGAGGCGAGTCTGCGGTTGAAATAGGTGTCAGGAGGTCAGGTTCGCAGTGAGGAAGTGCAAAAGACGAAACCTGGGAGAAAAATCGTAGGTCAGCTTAGCTAGGCCATTGCCTGGTATATTGATCCAACGAAGCCAAAACTTACTGTAGAGTAGGGAGTCAGGTCTGGATAGCTTGACGGAGATGACCTGTTGTCTGACAAGCTGGATGTATCTTCGGAAAGAGCGTCTGCTGGAGAAAGGACAGACGCAATGTACTGCTGCTGCGCAACCATGATTAGGTGAACCCTGCGAAAGGTGATTGCCAAGCAGTCAGATTATGTGACGGTCTCCCTGACCAAAATACCTCGATAACACGCTTTTGAGGTCAACCGTTGGCTTGATTGCGACAGAGAGGAGGCTGTTGCCGATACACAGAAGCAGCTGCGGCGAGGGTTATCGTTTCTTCCCTAAAAGCCGACCGATCTCAACTGGCACATATGAAGACCAACAATCTATCTATGTTCACGTACTTGTGAAGCAACCTTGGAAGACTTTGACCGAGGAGGAAGGATGGTGGGAACCAAGGGAACACAAGAATTAGGTGCGGCTCAAGTAACCAAATGACGACTGCGAAGAATCAGCATTAAGATGTTGGGTCCCTGTCTAAGCCAAGAGCAACGAGTATTAAAAAACGGTCTTGGACGAGGTAGGGACCAAGAATCAGGAAAAAGTGAAGAGATGGAGAGCAAAACACGAGAAGGTAGAAGGCCCGGCCTCTTTGTTATAAGCGGCTCGAGATTGAGGATGTGGTGCAGATCTTTTTGAACAGAGGACGACAACACTGGCCTAAAGCTTGGGCATGTACCTCGACTTTGCGTGGTACAACCAAGGGGTGCAAGGGGGTGCGGGTGTGGTGCAACAGCCTCGCCAGGGTGAGTGTCTAGGGGTGTGTGTGTGATTGCGCTCTGAAATGACATGGGATGGGGCGTGCAACGAGAGGGCGTGGAGATGACGCCTTAGCCCATCATCCTCATCCGCTTCTACTGAGTGGAACTCGTCTACCCCAGTCTGACCATGGGGTCTGTTGATGATGGGGCACACAGGGCAGGCAGGCACATCACGGCCGAGTTGGCCGATGAAACGTCGTCGACCATGGCTCTCAGGCTTTCGAGCTCGGCTTTGTATGCTCTTGTCCTGTCGTGCATGCGGATAGCCGCCGAAGTTCTGCTGCGCACTTGGGGACTCGCCCAAGGCCAGCATAGGGTCCAATAAGGTGTGGGCATGGGGCCAGCATGAACTCTTGCGTTGAGGGGCACAACGAATCCATACGTCCGAAAGATGGTGGGTGACGCCCGGAATCCCCTTGAGGGTCCAACTGGGCCGCTCTGGGCTGCAATTCTTTCCGTCTTGAGGCTCTTGAGGGTCTTGAGGCTCTTGCTGGCCCAGCTTGGCTGGAGAATTGCTGCTGTGCCGCCTTGCTGAAACCAACCAGATGATGCTCAACACACCAGACATTCGTTGCTTTTTGTTTGGCATTCATCAAGACCTGGTGGCTTGTTCTTGGTTGCTGAGCCTAATTCCGGATAACCTGTCCGCCTCCAGACAGGAAAAGGCGAGCTAAAGAGCCAACGGCCAGATCTGGGGGTGCTCTACTTTGTACCGATGGTGCCAAACTAAAAAAGAAAAGAAAAAGCTTCAAAGTCATAGCATCCTGGGGCCGTGCCGATCACGGCTCCATACTCCGTACGTATCGAATGTCAACAGCCAAGACAGCGTCGTATCCTGTCCGTTCGAGCGTGGCGGGGCATCGGACAGAAACCACAGGCTCTGAACTACGTACTCCGCACACGAGCGAAAACACAAGCCGTGACAGGTTTTAGCGGAGAGGAAGAAGAATGAAATGCAGCCCTGACCGATACAGATGTTGGCCGTTTCAAGCGCTCCGCACAATTCAACGTGGAGTCTCTTTTGACTTTGGGGGCAGAACCGGTACTCCGTCCTAGTGGATCAGATCCGCGGCAGGCAAGCGCAAGACGTGCCCACCGAGTTGCTTGGTTGGGAAGTTGCGAATTGAAGAAACATGAAGCTGGCTTGACGATGAGTCTGTTGACTTTCTGCAGGGACAATCTCAGTTGCGGCCCACAACCCGGTGGCCATGATCATACTCGTGCTTGGGCTGAGGTCTGGTGATGGGTACATGACAGCCAGAGCCAGAGGCGATCTTGATATGAGGGGGAGGAGCAGCCGCAGTACATGTTACTAAGTTTGGCGACAAGATGAAACCTAGGACTTTCACGGCTGGCCAGAAAAAATCCGGGCATACATTGCCACCGTCAGACTTGTGCAGGATGAGAGAGTATTTTGAGGGTGCGAAAAACCGTGGGCGCGGAGCCCACCACAGGATCAACAGATCATGGCAGAAGCATAGAGTGTTGGAGGCCCTTATTAAGCAAACCCTTGAAATGTTCGTCATTTCCTGCCGGCAAGATACGATGCAAAATAGCCAAGTGTCGGAAACGGAACAGAGCTTCCACTACAGCAAACGCTTGTTACAGCAATATTAGCGACAGAGAGCGCGGCACCCTGTAGACGATACCTTCATCATTGGCCCCTGGTGCACAAATATTTGGAGGTCGAGTAGGTCGAGCAAGTCGAAAGCACCCGCAGGATAGATAAGACAAGACTGGTGGTGGCCAATTGCCGGGCTTCGGCAGCAATGGGGAGCGAGATCAAAGCTGCACTCTGTAACAATAGCGGAGACAATAGCAGGAACAATAGCCAAGGGAAGCAACGCTGGTTGATGATGCCCCAACACGACGGAGCTACGGTCGAATATCGCCCGCTTGAGCATATCAGAATCGATGAAGCAGACAGGCCACTAAGAGGCACACGGACCACGCCGCCGAGAACCATGGTCTAGCGGCGCGAACGAAGCTCACTCGAGCGCTCCCGAGGCCTGAAGTCGTCAAGCCATCAAGTCGTCAAGCCGATGAACTTCCTCCCGGGATCCTCCGTTACAACCATCATCAGCAGCCATCCGAATGCCCACGACTTGGGCAGAACAAGAGACCAGAAGCAGCAGCAGCAGCAAGCAGGAGCAGGAAAAGAAACGGGAAGTAGACAGAATAAAATAAACCGAATAAATGCAACAAGCTATGGTAAATGACACCGCCGTCATTGCCTGCCAGCCTTGGAAGGAAGATGCAGGCTGAGATCCAGGCAAACGTCAAGGGGACTCGAAGCAGGGGTGCAAACGTCAAGTTGATGTGGGTGGGGAGAAGCTAGGCAAAAGGCCTGGCCTAAAGGCAGCCGGGTTGCGAACCCGTCTGAAGACCCACTCGACAACTCGGAGCGTGGCAGCGTGGCAGCGTGGCAGCGTCCAGCCTAAGAAGCCAGACAGCGGACTTGGAGACTAGGAGTGCGAGTGTTTACCGTGCGTCTTGGCACGGAGTCCCCTTCACTCTCAATGTTGGCCAGGTGCCGGAGATGCTCATTGCTGACATCTGGACTCAGCCTGCGCCTAGCGCCTGGATGGCTGAATGGTCAAGGCGGACACCAGGCCCTCACTAAGGCAGTTATCGTCGGCGACTTTTTTCCCTTTCGTCCTCGTCAGAGTGCCACACGAGATCCGCCATATTCAGGTACCAGCTAGCGCCAGCAGATCGCGGAAATGATGCGGGAAACGCCATGCTCAAGCCCCCAATCCGCCTCTGATCCGTCAATCCCATACGATACCTGCGATACACCTCTCCCGCTCCATCGACCGGCCGGGTTGGAGCGGATGCCGCTCGTGCGAATCTGCCAAGTTGCGCCGCGCAAGCTAGCCAGCCGAGAAAGCATTGTAAGGCGACCAGTCAAGAGATTCTCCCATGGGTGTGCGCGCGAAGACGGGCGATTCGGTCCCGGTAGAGTGTAGCATCGTTATCCAGAAGTAGCTCGAGAATTGCCTGGCCATCGTCAACCAAATCCACCTACACGAACGCAATGATGAGACGATGGCTATGGTTGCTGTCAGGCGCTGTTGCTAGTGTCACATTGCAGCTGACACCAACACGCAGCATCGACATGGATGGCAGGACTGGCAAGTGATCATGCATGCCTTCCATCCGATCCTGTTGAACGCTTTTTATGGCTGCTAGGTCGGTGTACTTGCGTCCAATCCAATCTTCACCCATACATACGCTGGCGCCAGAGCCTCCCATCCACATACCATCATGACGTTCAGAGCTCCGGGGAACAATGACAAAGACCGACTTCCACGGCCGACCTCTAGGGCCGATGGTCCAAACTTCAGACTTGCTCTGTGCTTCTTTAATCGCCACCCCCGTTGGCCACAAGCCGAAGTGTGACGCTTCGGAAAGCAGAAAGCCCTTACGACACAGCAGGGGATTTGTCACCCCGAGCCGACCGGGAAAAGGATCCGTGTGTACACCCGACAATCAAGTACGGAGTACATTGCCATGTTATCAAATTGACGTTTAATACGTTTAATACCTTGGCGGCGAGAGGGCAACGCGGGTAAATAAAGCCCATGAAATTTCAGCCTCTGTTGTCGACTTTCCCCGCAAACCACCGGCAGTCCCTTCCTGTCACGGGAAGCTTAAGAGGATAGGGAAAGCACGGTAGGTATGACAGGCCTCTCGGCGTTGAAGAGACTTAGAACCGAGGATTCCAGAGTTTGTACTCTTCCCGCCAGCAGGAGTTCTGGTTTGCCTTTGACTTCTCGATTGTGATACAACAAAGGCAGCTGAGCGCTCACATTGAGGCGCTTGACTTGGATCCTGTTTTTCACTCGGTGGCCAAATATTCTGCTTCATTTAATCTGCCGTTTCAATCGCCGACTAGTGTCCAACTAGTGGTTGTGCGCGATGTCCACAGAGGTCCAAGACCAAAGCAAACCATGCAATCGACCTCTATCTTTGCTTAGCACCATAATGGTCAGTATACGGAGCCCTTTGTTATTAATTACGATGTGACGTGGGCGTCCCAGGTGGCTTCAGACAAATGCTGATTTAGTGACTTTGGATCAAATTTGACAACCCAGTTGATAATGACAATCAAGGTTGCCAAAAACACACAAATTCAAGACGCACTCGCCGAAGCCAGAGGCCCAGTGGCCCAGCTACGAGTATGCTAGTATTCCCGGCTTGATGTGACACACGTATGCCATCCCCTGGGAAACCCTGGACCGAGGAGCGCGGAACGCCAAAAGCCTAGAAGGACATTACCAAAAGCTTCGAGATTAGAGCGCTGCCATGAGTGTTGATACTAGCAAGATTAGCTGATGGGACAC